CTGATCGGTTTAGCTCTAGCCATTGTGGCTACTGATGGCTGCCCAGGGCACTAGAGACAAGGGGGCTGGTCTGCTCCACCCCGGCATATATCCCAGGCTTCAGCCTGGAACAAAGGAGCCAAAGGAGCCACAGGAGCCAGTTATGGCCCCGACCTGGCAGGATTCCTATTGACCAATGGCACACCTGAACGGATATTCCTTACATAGTTGGGGCACAAACAGCCCCTTTTCCTGCCCACGAGTCTAGAGGGGTATAAAACTCCTCCACACGTATCTCAGGCGCCCTTTTCGCTTCCCTCTTCCTTCCCCTCTGCGTGAAGGGGGCCCAGGAGCAGATTTTCCAATAAAGCTTCCATTACAACTCTGAACAACTTGCCGATATTATTCCACCAGTGGGCGGGCGGGCGGTGGTCATCATCTAACAGCTACTTGGGGAGTGAATCAGTGGATGGAAGATCTTTCTCTCTGTTTCTCCTCCTCTCTGTAGATCTGTCTTTCCAATACAAATAAATGTCTTTTTTTAAATAGTTTTTTAAATGAAAGGAAGTACTACCAGGGCAGGGAACAGGGCTGATTTTTCTTTCTTTATTTATTTTTATTTGAAAGACAATTTCACAGAGTAGAAGAGACAGAGATATCTTCCATATTCTGGTTCACTTCCCAGATAGTCTCCACAGCTAGAGGTGGGCTGGTGTGAAGCTGGGGTCCAGGAGCTTCTTCGGAGACTCCTGTGTGGGAACAGAAGCCCAAGGACTTCAGCCTTCCTCTGCTGCTTTCCCAGGCTATAAATAGGGAGCTGAATTAGAAGTGAAGGAGCCAGGACACAAACTGGTACCCTTATGGGATACCTGCACCTCGGCAGATCAGCCTTCTGTGCCATTACGCCAGTCCCCTGATTTTGCTTTTTTCTAAGGAGCTGAGTTAGTTATTTGAAAGGCAGAGTGATGGTGGAGAGAGGCTGTCTGCCATAACAGCCAAGGCTCACCCAGGCCAAAGTTAAGAGCCAGGGATTCATCTTGGGTCATCTCATGCTACTTTGCCAGATGTAGTAAAAGCAGGGAGCTGGATCAGTTTGGAGCAGCCAAGACTTGAAGAACCAGTGCTCTAGTGTTGGATGCCAGCCTGAAGATCTATGGCTGAACCCTCTTCAACACAATGCTGGCCCCTTGTTTTCTCTGTCACTCTGCCATTCCCTAGCACAGCTCCTTATGTTCCATAAGCACAGATTGGCTAGAGTGCAGAAATGGGCTGGAAGCTCATGCATTCAAGGGCTTCATTAGGCTGGATCTGAGGAGAAGAGGCCTAAACATGCCCACAGGTGTGGGGGTAGAAGGCGGAGCTCTGTGGGTATGGGAAACCACTGCCCAGGGCTGCACAGGGCAGGAGAGAGACAGCCTGACCTCCCTGGTCTTCAGTCCATAAACTTAGCCAGAAGCCACTTGTTTTCTCCATTCTGGGACCATTACTGTGAGTGAAGCGCCTTGGTGTGATGGGAATGTTTTGGGTCAGGGGTGGCAGGATAGTGGGACAGAGCAGTTAGTGGCACTGAGGAAGGACTCGCAGTTTTCAGGTTCCTCCCGGGCAGTAGTAAGTCCCCCTTTCCAGAGGAAAGCACTGCAACCTGAGGCTCCTGCATCCAGCCGGGGTCAGGGACAATGGCTCTAGCAAAGAGGGGGACAAGAGATAAGCTGTGCAGGTGGTGCTTCACCGTGTCCGAGGCTCCCAGGCCAGGGTGAGAGGCCTGGAGACAGGATGGGAGCATGGAGGAAGGGTAGCCATGGCACTTTGGTGGAGGGAGTTTCCCTGTCTGCTGGAACTTTAAAAAAAAAATTTTTTTCCATCCCTACCGCCCCCCTAAAAAATTTTTTTTAAAAAAGATACAGTGCACAGGTTTGCATGAGAGCAGGGCGGTGAGTGTCGGCAGCAGGAGGCTGGGGTCACAGAAGGGGCCCTGGGGCTTGGCTTCCATCTACAGTTCAGGAAGGCCTGGGTGTCTGAGAGACAGCCAAGATTGTGGTATATGGGAACGATGGCAGCACCAAAACTTGCTTTTCCTGCTTCCCAGCCTGCTGATGCCACTCAGTGCCTGAGGCCTTGGAATTTGCTGCCAGCCAGCAGGTATCCACAACACATCCAGTTTCCGGTGCCTCAGGTGTGTCAAGCACCCAGAACACACCCGGTTCCCGGAACCTGGGGGTGTGTGGGCATTGTGTGTCTCAAGGCAGCTGTACTGGATCCACCTGCACAGAGCACCTCAGAGGCCACGCTTTGTGAACAATTGTGAAATAACCCAGGGGTAGAGGTGTGGGCAACGGTTCAGGGGCTACTTGGAACACTGGTGTCCCTCAGTGGACGAAAGCACTTGGCTTTGAGTCTCAGGTCTTAGTTCCAGCATCCTGCCAGTGAACACCCTGGGAGGCTGTTGGTGTGGGTGCCAGCAGCTGGGTCCCTGCTGCTCATAGGGGAGACTCACACTGACAAGTGAGTGTTTGGGAAGTGAGTCAGCAGATGGAAGATCTCTCTATCTCTGTTTCTGCCTTTCAGATAAGTTTCTTTAAAAAAAAATGATTTATTTCTTTTACTTATAAACTGTAATTACTGAGGGAGAGGATAAGCCAGGGAGACAGAGATCTTCTTCCATGCTCTGATTCACTCCTTAAATGGCTGCCACAACAGGAGTTAGGCTAGAACAACGCGGGGAGCCAGGAGCTTCTTCCAGGTCTCCCACATGGGTACAAGGAGCCCAAGGACTGGGACATCCTCTGGTACTTTCCCAGGACACCAGTAGGGAACTAGGTCAAAAGTGGAGCAAGCGGTACACAAACTGGTACCTTTATGGAATGCAGACACCATAAGCAGAGAAGTAGTTTGCTATGCCGTCATGCCATCCTCTCAAATACATTTGAAAGTAAATGAATGCAGGAATGGCCGACTTTCCTCCTATTTCGATGGCTCCCAGTCCTTCCTCTCAGCACTCGAGGACATGGCAGCGTACCCCAGCACATCCCATAGAGCACTGGATCTGAGGTGGCAGGGTGGGAATGGCAAGCCCTTATGACAGGGACGTCGTTAGGGGCGCTGTTCTGGAAGAGTGCTCTTGGCTCTCCAGGGGAGTCTGTGCCTGCCCCGCCCCACCAAGGCCGCATACCCAGGAGTGGCAGGCACACATAGGAATGATAATGAAACTGCAGAAGAACGGCCTGGTATTTTCCCAGCTCCATTTGTGCTTCGGCTTTGCCTGAGGTTGGTGCCGCCTCTGCCACAGTTGCCATTAGGACCAGGACTGGGGCGAGGCTATTGTGTGATCTCTCCTTGTTTTGCAGACACTCCCAGGGAGTGTGGGGAAGTGCTCAGGGGCTCCATGGCATAGACCTGAGGGTGGGACCAGCAAGGAGGGGTGGACATAGCTTTCAATCTCCTCCTCTGTGCTTGTCTGCTTGATTGAGAAGCTTGAGATAGTCCTGCAGAGTGTGCCTTGACAGTGGCCCTCGCCCCCGCAGTCTGGGGGGTCTTGCATGTTGTGACGCCACATTTTGAGTTGGCCTGCCTGGGGGTTGGCTCGGTAACCACCCGCATTCCCTGCAGGTTTCGGTGGGTGTGGCATGGGTGCAGGTGTTCACTGGATGGACCAAGAGGCTTGTTCATGGTGGGTGTCGGCAACACCTGCGTCACTGTGCACCCCGAGCCGAGCGGAGGGACTAGGGTTACAAAAAAGACAAAACACAGTGGGTCATTCTTGTAAAGAGAATGCCGTTTATTTGAGGTTAGCCTGCCTCTTTTATAGTCTGCCCAGTTCCTCCCAGTATTATCCCAATGCTCAAGCAACTCCTAAGCTCCTCCGAGGGCATCTTGAAAAAGGGGAAGCAGGGAAGAGGGAACTTGGCGGTCAAGCCAGGATTGCCCATCCTGTTACACCTTGAGAAACAAGCTAAGCTGTGAAGTTAACCCTTGGGAGACCGGGGCCTACAGGTGGGGAGGATGAATGGGGCACTGCTGTGCTCACGAGGCATTGCGATTCCAGTTGACTCTGAATTCTCTCTCCTGGCCATGCCTTCTGTCCCATTCCCAGCCTTGTGGTTCCATGGGAAGCCTCTTGCCCCGGTCTGTGGGCTGCGTCATGGCTCCAGAGAAGAGCAGAAACACGGGGCAGTAGAGCACCACTCAGGCGGCCATAGAGCAGAGCTGGCTGGAAAGCAGGGATCAGTTGGGGTCTCCAGATGGCGTTAGACACATTCCGGTGCCTGTGCCTGGGTGAAGGGTCTGCGAGGGAAGAGGAGGGAAGGAAGCGGGCTGGGCTGGGGCTCTGTGCCTTTGCTGAGGCCACAGCTCTGCCAGCTCTGTCTCCTGTCACAGCTCTTTGACCTGTGGAAGGCCTGTACTCAGAGCCCTGGCAAGCAGCTCCCTGTGCAGTCCCAGGAGTGCAGAACTATTGCTTCACCAAGAAGCCTCATTCATGAAGAGATGTTAAAACTGGCTGGGCTGTGCAGTGAACAGAAACAGTGCCATGATGAAGACAAGCCACTGCCCAGAGGGCTCCTGCCTGGGTGGGGCAGGGCAGGGCCATGTGCTGCTGGCCTGAGCACAGGGTGGACACTGTATTGTTCTCATCGCTTAAAAAAAAACTTCAAAAATTTTTTTATTGGAAAGTCAGATATACAGAGAGGAGGAAAAACAGAGGAAGATCTTCTGTCCATTAATTCACTCCCCAAGCAGCCACAATGGCTGGAGCTACGCTGATCTGAAGCCAGGAGCCCAGAGCCTCTTCTGGGTCTCCTACACAGGCACAGGGTCCCAAGGTTTTGGGCTGTCCTCAATTGCTTTCCCTAGGCCACAAGCAGGGAGCAGGATGGGAAATGGGGCCTCCAGGATAACAACTGGCATCCACATTGGATCCTGGTGCATGTAAGGTGAAGACTCTAGCTGCTAGGCTACCATGCTGGGCCCACTTTGTACCCTTTTACCACAGGCATGAGTCGAGGGACCAGGTGGTGGCACCTCAGCCACAGCGAGCTTCCCCTGTCCTTGCAGAAGAATGGCTCGTGTCCGAGAAGAACGTCTTGATTGTCTCTGTGGTCAACCCAGGATGCGAGCAGTTTCCTACCTTGGAGTCGGTGGAGAACTGTAAGTACCACCGTGCCCTGTCTTCCCTGGGAGCCAGGACTTGCACAGAGCTGTACCCGCGCCCCTCGTGCCTGCGGGGACCAAGAGTTCCCCAGTGCAGAGGGCAGCCACAGAGAAGTGTTTGCAGGACACTAACCAGTTCGTCTCACTGGGATACCTGCTGCGTCTCTATCCCAGCCACATGTGCTCATCACTGGTATTAAGAGCCTGTGCTTAGGGACTGGATGCTGGGCTTGTGTACTGAGTCCCGAGTCCTAAGGCTGCTTTCCACCACCCTGAGCAGCCATGCTCTCCCCATTCGTGAGTGAAGTGGGTGCGGGTGGGGAGTTGCTTCTGCCCCTGGCCTCACCCCTCCGGGTGCATTGAGCCCTTGTCTGATGGCAGGCCTGGCACTTTGAGCCCAGTGCTGCAGGGGTCTCGTGTTTGCGCAGGGAAAGTCTACTCTTGTGCAGAGTTGCTGCTGTTGCCCAACTCCCTCAGGCAAGTTCTTCCTAGGCCACAGGCCTCTTCCCCCACCCTCTCCCCGGGAGATCAGCCCCAAGCTGTCCTGCGCTGCGCAGGCCTCCTCTTTGAGAGATTTCTTCAAAGTTAGACTCTTGCTGTTTTTTGTTTGTAGTCCCGGGCTTTAGGTAGAGCATTGGGACTGTAGGCTGAGGATGAAGAAGCTTCACCTCCCTGGGCCGTTTCTGCCGTTTCAGACACCCTGACGATCAACGACGACCAGTGTTTACTCATCTCCGAGAGCATCTGGGGAGCTCTCCGAGGTACCGACGGCGCAGGCGGCTGCAGACCAACCTAGGGAAAGCTTCCTGAGACCAGATGAACATCTCCCTCCACCTCCATTCCTCCCAACCCCCGACTCAGCTGATGCTCCTGGGAGCCAGCAGGGAGAAACATGTCATTAGAAAAGGTCTTAAGTCTATGGCCACAACACCCTGAACACGCCCGATCTCGTATGATCTCGGAAGCTAAGCAGGGTTGGGCCTGGTTGATACTTGGATGGGAGAAAGGGTCTTAAAAGCAAAAGAACTGGAGGCCCTGCAGCTGGGACAAGACCTCTGCTTGCCCTTGCCTGTCTCCAACAGCTGACCGCCTCTGTCTCTGATGGGCCCGGAACCAGCCAGGCCTTAGAGACTGGCTGTCTGAGTCAGAGTTGGACAGGTAGGCCACTGGAGTTCTTCAGGCCACTGGCACCCAGGTGCATCCTCGTGACCCTGCCATTCCCCCCTCGGTATTCAGGGATTCCACAGGCAGAGCTCATCTGCTGGGAACACGCTGTGCTCTGAACTTGGCCTGCTTGTCCGTGGGAGCTTCCGCATGGGCCCTCTGGCCACCTCTGCCCACACCCCCACCTCAGCTCTCCACAGCCCAATCCCTCCTCCAGCTCAGAAGAGCGTGATTGTGAGTCATTATTGAGCCGCCTCCTTCAAACCAGAGTCCTTGGAAATTCAAGCTTCCGGTTGCCTCGTCACGGCCAAGTCAGAGAGGTGGTAGAGGGTCCACAAGCTAGGAGAACTGCTTTGTGTGGCTTTGTAGCTCCTGACGAATTAGTCTGTGGAGCTACAACCCCCCTAAGCCACCTCGTCCCTGTCCCATCCTCGTAACACAGACCTGGAAGGGTTCAAGGCTAAGGGAAAACAGAGAGGTGCATGGGCTTCAACACTTAGCAGTAGGCACTGAGATACCTCCACCTTCTCGAGTAGCACAGTGGCTGCCACTTCCTGGCACCTGCTCATCCAGAGCCTTCCACTCTGTCTTCTCTCTGCTTCTCCCCAGGCCTGGAGACCTTCAGCCAGCTTGTTTGGAGATCTGCTGAGGGCACAGTGAGTCAGGGGGGACCTTCCTAGGGGGCCTCTTGTGTCATTTCTGGGTTTTTTTTTTTTTTTCCCTGAAACCCTTGGGTGGGGTCCTAGGGGCTTACAATAGTCTCAGCATGCAAGGGGTGAAAAAAGGATGGAAAACGGTTTGGGAGATATGTTTCTATGCAGAGACGCCACCACTTTGAAGGACACAAATGCACGGGGCAGCTGCTGGCAGGTGACTGCTGGTGGCCATGAGTGTGAGGCTGTGTTTTCTTGGGAGCTCGGCACCCTCGTAGGACAGTCACAGGCTGTCATGTTTGCTACACACAGTTCTACATCAACAAGACGGAGATTGACGACTTCCCCCGCTTCCCACACCGGGGCTTGCTGTTGGACACATCTCGCCACTACCTGCCTCTCTCTAGCATCCTGGACACTCTGGTACCCAGACCCTTGGGCCAGCAGGGGGTTCTGGGTGGTGGAAGAAAGGGATCTCTATTCCCAAAGAGTGAGAAATTAGCATGCAATTCTTGGGGAGCTCCCCAGGGGACACGGGAAGTAACAAGAGGGACCTAAATCTGTCTGTGTGGCTATGGTGAGCCAGGGTGCCCTGGCCTCTTGGACCAGGCCCAACACTTTAGTTAGGATGAGGTCAGAAGGGAGAGCCTTTAGAGGCTTAGCTGAGTTTAGTGCCCAGTTGCAGCGGAGCCTGGAACTTGGCATCCATCAGCCTGGGCTTCAGCTCTGCGCCTCACAGTGCCTTGCGCTCCCAGCAGGCCTCACAGCCTGGACCAGCAGAGTCAGGCAAGCTACGCAGAAGGTGGCGCAGAGGGCAGCATCGCTGTCTAGGTTATTTGCATGGTTGGAGAGACTGCAGGACACTGTGGTGGGTGCCACCCTCCTATGTTGCGTGGATTCCCAAAGCTTGCATTTACTCTGGCCCACAGGATGTCATGGCGTACAACAAATTCAACGTCTTCCACTGGCACTTGGTCGATGACTCTTCCTTCCCGTACGAGAGCGCCACCTTCCCCGAACTCACAAGAAAGGTTGGTGTGCATTCTTGTCCACAATGGTGGGTTCCTGTGTGAGCCTGACATTGGCCAGCAAGGACAGTGGCCAATGAGATTTGGGCAGATGTACTGACCCACGGGTTAGATAGTGGGCTTGGAAATGAGGGCTTGGAACTGACACCTGCCCTTCAGTGCAAACTTTGTCATTAGTCTGCTGTGTGACCCATCTCGCCCAGGCCTGCCTTCCTCGGTACTTATGTTCTGTTCTGTGGGCACAGTGCCCACCTCATGTACCTCACTGAGGCTTGGGATTCTCAGATAGAGCAGCCATTGTGGTGAAGTCCTGGAGGCCACCATGGGGCTGTGGTGTTTTGGGTGTCTTACTGCCGAGTCTTAGGGAGAAGAGAGCCTGAAGGTGGGTGTCTCGTTCCTTGCAGGGGTCCTACAACCCTGTCACTCACATCTACACAGCACAGGACGTGAAGGAGGTCATCGAGTACGCACGTCTCCGGGGTATCCGTGTGTTGGCAGAGTTTGACACTCCTGGCCACACTCAGTCCTGGGGACCAGGTGAGGCAGCTGACCAGGTGGGGTAGGAGGAGGGCCCCTCCACCAGCGCATGGGTTTCCAGTCGGTGGCTCTTAGGTGTGGTCCTGAAGAGGATCTGCTCTGCCATCAGCTTCCCCCAGCTGTCAGAATGAGGTTGGGAAGATGCCCTCTGCACTCAGCTCAGTGTGCCCCACGAGGGCGCCTGTGCAAGCTCAGGGATCTGAGAGATGCCCACCCCACACACAGAACCTCCATAAACTGGTTCGGAGAGGCAAAACAAGCACTTGGCTGGGGGGGCGGGGGGGGGCCTGGAGACGTTCAAGCCTTTCATGTGATGTGAACTTTAGCAGATCCTGGGCCGAGGGAGTGGTCCCTTGGGAAATGTGGACCCTGGCAGACAGGAGGAGTCAGGCAACACAGATGGGGCTCCCCCTCTGCTTTGCCTCCAGGCAGCATGGGGAGAGCAGCCTTGGGAGCAAGGGCAGCCCCTGCTGGAAGCCCAGGCCACTGTGGATGAATGGCTGTGATGGACACAGCATGTGTGAGCCTTGTATTCCTGTAATATTGGTGAACAAGATTGCTTCACTCTTGTATGTGTGCCTGCCTGCGTGCGCACACATTTGACCTCATGTGATTCTCTGTTGAGCTAGGTATCCCTGGATTGCTGACTCCCTGCTACTCGGGCTCCCAGCCCTCAGGCACCTTCGGGCCGGTGAATCCCATCCTCAACAATACATATGAGTTCATGAGCATGTTCTTCCTGGAGGTCAGCTCTGTCTTCCCAGATTTCTATCTGCACCTTGGCGGAGATGAAGTTGACTTCACCTGCTGGTACGAGCTCATTGACCCACCCACCCACTCCCAGCACAGCAGGGTCAGGCGCCCCGGATGCTCCCCTGGGACCATGGTCTCACACCTTGGCTTTCTTGCATCTCCTCTGAGAGACTCCCTTGTGATTTTCACTTGATGATCTCTCCCTTCCTCCTCCTTGGCATCCTTCGGGTGTTTATGGAGAAACAAGCTCTGGGCAGGCAATTGTAGAGAAAGAATAGTCCTCTGTGCATGGAGCTCAAGACAAACTGGGTGAAAAGTGACACAAGCACCAGAGACTCCTGCATGCCAGGTTTCCCTGACCTTCACCAAAAAGCCCGAACTCAGCTCTCATGAGCACAAAGGGGCAATGGGGCTTCCTAAAGTAGATGGCAGTTTTGCTTTCTGGAGGCACCAGGAGGAAAGAAGACAGACGTGGTGAGGTGGGGTCTTTAGCAGTGGTGGGCAGTCAGGCTGTTCACGTGCTGGAGCTGTGAAGGGAAAGGCCACTCACTGTGGTCCGGCTCACACGTACAGCTCCTGCACGTGGCTTTTCCCCATCTCACCACCCCCATACCACGCCTTCTCATCAGTGTTTCCATTGGGAAAGATAGGTGGGGGTAGAGAGACAGGTGACTAACACACAGGACCCTGCAAGGGTGACAGTGCCTTCTGCTACAACGCAGGAAGTCCAACCCGGATATCCAGGACTTCATGCAGAAGAGGGGCTTCGGCAGTGACTTCAAACAGCTTGAGTCCTTCTACATCCAGACGTAAGGAAAAGGGCAGGGGTTGTGGGGGTCCTCACGCCCTCTTGGGCTTGCAGGGTATCCATCCGCAACCCCAGCCAGGCTGAGCCCAACACACTCCCTTTGCACCCCTCCTGGCAGCCTTCTGGACATCATCTCTGATTACGGCAGAGGCTACGTGGTGTGGCAGGAAGTGTTTGACAACAAAGTGAAGGTGAGCCTTGCGCGGGACCCCCTGCACCCTCCCTGGCCCTTCCACACCTCCTCAGGAGCGGAGCCTCTGGTTAGGGCCACGCTTTCCCAGTCAGAGTACTTGGAGCAGTCTGCCATCTCCTCCGGAAAGGCTGCAGAGACTGAGCCCTGGGTGTGGGGTCACAGCTTCTGTCTTCTCTCGCTACAAACCCATCTAGAGTTAATACACTGCCAGGGTATCTGGGGGTTCCTCAGACTCAGGTAGGCTGTGTTTTCCTTCCTGGATCACCATTGAGGGCCTCGCAGCTGTGTGAGCGTAGCGCCCCTTCTCTTGTAGTGAAGTCAGTGGTGCCAGTCAGATCTTTGCCTCCTGTCACATGCTGGGTTCCTGCAGGATCCAGGTCCCAGCCTAAAGCATAGGTACCAGCCAGCAAACAGAGAAGTGTGGGAGGACCAGGGCCGGTGGCCCCTGCCCTGGGGCATGAGCTCATCCTGAGGTGTCACAGACACACTCAGCAGTTGGGGAGATAGGAGACACAGCCCCCAGGAGTGCTGAGTAAAAACTGGGTCCAACAGTCCCTTTGCTCTGTGCTCTGGCGGCAGATTCGGCCAGACACCATCGTCCAGGTATGGCGGGAAGAGAACCCTGTGGGCTACTTGAAAGAGCTAGAGTTGATTACTAAGGCTGGCTTCCGGGCCCTCCTCTCCGCCCCCTGGTATCTGAACCGCATTGCGTACGGCCCCGACTGGAAGAACTTCTACACGGTGGAGCCCCTGGCCTTTGCAGGTAAAGGAGGCAGTTCCTGACTGGGCTGGTGGGCAGTGGGGGGTCAGGGTCAGACACTGAGGAGTGGGGACCATATTGGGAGGAGGGCTGAAGGGGAGCCCACATTGCCTGAGCCCACAGGTACGCCCGAGCAGAAGGCCCTGGTGATCGGTGGAGAGGCCTGTATGTGGGGAGAGTACGTGGACAGCACAAACCTTGTCCCCAGGCTCTGGTAAGAGGGGCTGGGCTGAGGACAGGACTCCTTTCGTCACAACATCCCCATCCCTTCCTGCCTGGGAAAAGGGGCTCTGCCGGAAATGCATAGTTCCCACGTGACTCTCCACAGCCAATAGGTGTTTAGGGCAGGGATCTCTGGGCCTGGTACCACAGGGGACACAATGAGGCCTAGGCGTTGCGACTGCCTGGCTGCAGATCTGCTCCTGGGAGTCGGCAGTTCCCATGCAGTGTCCTGCAGCAGTCCCCTCAGCCTGGGTCCCACAGCTGAAGTAATCAGTGGTCACAGTTATTCTTGCTCCCATATGACAGGAAGGGGCGGGGGGGTCCCATGCCACCTTTGAATAAAGACAAAGCCAAGTGATGTGACCCTGAGCAAGGCGTTGGTTACCTGCCTCAGCTCTGGGCATGGGCAGAACCCAAGGAGGCAGTGATCTGTGTGTGGGCAGCTGCTTGGCAACACGGGGCCTTACCTGCTGGTCCTCCCATGCGTCCCTCCAGGCCCAGAGCCGGGGCTGTTGCCGAGAGGCTGTGGAGCAACGAGTTGACGACAGACACAGAATTTGCCTTTAACCGGTTGTCACACTTCCGCTGTGAGCTGCTGAGGTAAGCAGGCTGGAGGGCCCCCAAGGTGGAGAGCAGGCCCAGGTGTGCCCCTGACTGCAGGGGAGGGAGTCACAGTGACAACCTGAGCTACAAGAGGCCAGCTTTGGAGTAGACACTGTGGGCCTGACCTGTTAGGTATACAGCTTAGCCCACCTGGCAGGCACAGTCCCCTCTACACTTGAAAAATGCATATTGCTCATTTCCTAACAAAGGAAGGATACCTGGAGGGCCCCTCTGGAAAACTGATGAGGTCTAAGAACTTGGGGGTTTGAGATGCAAGGCAAGATTGTTCTGTGCCCAGCCCACACACTGGCCTGCAACGTAACCCCTGCCACTCACCAGTATGCAGCCCTCTAGAGCCAAGAGCAGAGGCACCCAGCTGGCAGGGGTACAGGCATGCAGGAGAGAAACAGGGAGGCCTTCCCCCAAGTCCCTGGGTCTCCCTGTGCCAGCCCCAGGTAGGCTGGAGGTGAACTCCCCAGGTAAACTGATGCACAGCTTATGTGCCTCGAGGCTTATGTGCGATCTCTTCATGTCCTCTTGCAGGCGAGGAGTCCAGGCCCAGCCACTCAACGTAGGCTACTGTGAGCAAGAATTTGAGCTGACCTGAGCCAGCAGCACCGGCACCAAGGAGGGTGCTGGCCTTAGGAGCTTCCACTGCGCCCCGGCCGGGCATGGAGCCCCCTGCCCACGAGTCCCAGTGCCTGGAAAGAAGGGGGCCAGTCTTTGTGCTGGCATTTAATAAAGAGGGTCATGGCATTTTTCTGTCATGCACCTGTATCACCTGTATTGTCAAAACTGTGACTTTGGATGACCAGAAATCCTGTGGGTCAATGAGGTTGAGATCTGTCTCCTTGGGAGTCAGGGGTGCATATCATGACTTGATGGCTGAGTAACCTGGCTCCTTGGGGGACCGCACCCATGCTCTACCTGCTCCCTGCACGCCCATGTGCATATTCAAGGTCCATCCAAAAAGGAGACAGCCTGGAGACCGAAGGGTTAGTAGGGATCTGCCAAGTTACTGTCTGGCTGCCTGTGTTTCACACCAGTGCTGGCTCCATCCGTCTTGGACACGTGCTGTGGTCCAGACAGTGGATGCCGTGTTGAACTGAAGATCACGTTCCCGGAAAGCCATGCTCATTCTCCTTCTACCCCCCCCCAACCACCCCAATACCATTTTCAAGGACAGCAGAACCCTTGGGGACAAGGGAGGACTGCAGCTATGGCTCTGAAAAAGGGGACAAGTTTTGTCGGAGAAGGAACATCTCACAGTGGGTCCTTTGTGGGAGTGACTGTGCAGTAGGCACAGTCCTTCAGTTCAGTTTGACACCTTCTTGCCTGGCTCTAAGTAGGAAGACCCCCAGAGCAGTCCCAGGTGCAAGGGAGGCAAAGCTGAGAGGGGTCCCCAGACCTGGTCCTTCAGCATGCGGCTGATGCCCTTGAGGAGCTGGTCATGCTCCACAGCCTGGCCGCCTCCCGGGATCGGGTGGATTTCTCCTCCAGCAGAATTCTTTTTGGGTTTCTTCTCAGGTTAGCCCAGGGCTCTGACCAGTCAACAGAGGAGCTAAGGATCCCTAAGTTGAACCCACCAAGGAGGGTGCCCTTTACTCTATCAGAATCCTGGGGTGGGGTGGGGGTTGCCTGCTGAAGGACTTATCCTGATTGAGTCTTGGACCTTGGTTGCTGTTTGCAGTTAAGCTAAAAGCAGACAGTAAGTTGAAGAATCCAGGAAAACACTTGCATTATTAGCAATTCTGTGATTTCTTGTTACTGTTGAAAATCTTTTTTTTTTTTTTTTCCGAAATTTAATCACCTTGGGCCTGGCCCGATAGTGTAATGGTTAAGGTCCTCGCCTTGAACACACCATGATCCCATATAGTCACCTGTTCTAATCCCAGCAGCCCTGCTTCCCATCCAGCTCCCTGCTTGTGGCCTGGGAAAGCCATAGAGGACGGCCCAAAGCTTTGGGACCCTGCACCCGCGTGGGAGACCTGGAGGAAGTTCCTGGCTCCTGGCCTCGGATCGGTGCAGCACCAGCCATTGCAGCCGCTTGGGGAGTGAATCATCGGATGAAAGATCTTCCTCTCTGTCTCTCCTCCTCTCTGTACATCTGCCTTTCCAATAAAATAAACAAATCTTTAAAAAAAAAAAAAGTTAACCACCTCAAGACCTTCCATGTCAGGATGTGCTGTATCTGTTGGCATCATTGATCTTAGGGTGTTCACCCACACACCAGCTTCAGACCCTGGGCTGCTGATAGGCAGAGGCAGCAGCTGGCACCTGTCATCCCATGGAGCAGCTACTCCGCTTAGCCTAGGCCTGTTCTCTGTACCACAAGGAAGTGGGCAAAACCCTGCCCACCTCTACTGTCAGCTATCCACCTGGGTGCACAGCAAGCCCGATGGGCACAGGAAAGCAGATGGAGGCTGGGAAACCATTCATGCCAGGGGCCCTCTGCTGTCTGCAGGGCCCCCTGGGTACTGAGAGGTTGGAGTGCTACCATGATGCCAGTGATGGAGCTGGGACTATGGGAGTACAGGGTCTCTGCCACCCACATGGCCTGCCCCAGTCTCAGCTCTTGTGGGCACTTGGTGAGTGAACCAGTGGATTGAAGATTCTCTCTCTCTCTGACTTTCAGATGAAGCTTTTGAATGTTTATTTGTTGAAGTTTCCATCTCTGTTCACTTGCTGATGTTGTGTGTGGGGGGAGGGAAACCTTTGAAGCAGTCTGTTTCTTGAGTCAGATGTTTAAAATGTCCATGAACTTGGCTTTTTCTTTTTTCAGAGTAATTACGGCACTCTGATGGCATCCATGTTATGTCCTCCTCACCTCCACAAATGCCCTCAGTGCAATTTCAAATGTTTCAAACCAACAGATAAATGCAGAGAATGAGCACATGGGCAGTATCTTTCCTGCTTCTGTTTTGTGGAGTGGAACACCTGAAGCCTGTACAGGGCCCTCTCCCAAGTCCTGACCCCTCCTTCCCTCCCTCCTGCCACAATAGCTCCTTTTAGAATCCATCTACAATTTCATTTCTTCTGGAATCTGATACATGTCTGTTAACCTCTGCATATTGTGAAGTTCTTCATGGCTCACATTTTTAGCAGACACGGAATGTGGGTGAGAGGAAGCAGAGCCGCCAGCAGACTTGGCAGAGTGGGCAACTAGATTATGCATTCCTCATGAGGGGGAGACCTGCAGGAAGAAAACGCAAGAGTGCTGGGCCATGGTTTTTCTGGACTCCCAAGCCAGAGATGATAGTAGAAACGTGTGTACAGAGGAACAGATAAGGCTGTAGTGTCATCCTGGTTAGTTCTCCTCCCCTCCAGTGTAGCGGATATCAATATCACCCTCATTTGTTAGAGAAGCAGATGTGGAAGACTTGAGTTTGGGGGAGGTTGGTGATGCTGTGAGGTGTTGAGGCAGGTTAAGCCACGGCTTGGGATACCTGCATCCCACTGCAGGAGAGCTGGGTTCTGCTTCCCATTCAATTTCTGTTAATACTGCTGGGAGACAGCTGGTGATGGCCCAAGTACTCGGGATTTAAAAAAAAAAAAAAAAAAAAGGTTTATGTATCTTGATTTGAAAGCTTTTAGAGAGGAGAAAGAAAGGGAAAGATCTTCATCCACTGGTTCACTCCCCAAATGGCCACAATGGCCAGAGCTGAGCTGATCTAGAGCCAGGAACCTCTTCCAGGTCTCTCCTGTGGGTACCCATGCACTTGGGCCATCCTCCATTGCTTTTCAGGCCATTAGCAGGGAGCTGGGTTGGAGATAGAACAGTCTGGCTTCAAATCAGCGCCCAAACGGAAGTTTAACTATTCCACAGTTCCGGCCCATACTTGAGTTTTCTGCCACCCATGCAGGAGATTGAGTTCCAGACATTTAAGAAATGAACCAGCAGATGAATGATCTCCCTGTTGCTTTCACTTTCAAATAAAAAGTAAGCTGGTTGTGCCCAGCACAGTAGCCTAGTAGCTGAAGTCCTCCACTTGAATGTGCTGGGATCCCATATGAGCACCAGTTCGTGTCCCAGCTGCCCTGCTTCCCATCCAGCTCGCTGTTTGTGGCCTGGGAAGGCAGTAGAGAAGGGCTCAAAGCCTTGGAACCTGCACCCAGATGGGAGACCCAGAAGAGGCTCTGGGTTCCTGGCTTCAGATCAGCTCAGCTCCGGTCATTGCAGCCACATGAGGAGTGAATCATTGGACAGAAGATCTTCCTCTCTGTCTCTTCCTCTCAATATGTCTGATTTTCCAATTAAAATAATTCTTTTTTTAAAGGAAAAAAAAAAGGATGAGCCTGGTGTGTGTGGAGCGGAACTACTAAAGGGAGTTCTTCAAACCTAAAAGAAATGACAAAAGGTATCCTAAACTACCAGGAAGGAGGAAAGAACAATGAAAAGAAAAATATACAGATAAATACAATAGACTTTCCTGTTGTTCTGCAGCTTTCGAAATAGTTTGAATAACATTGCCTAATATATTTGCAAAGTACAGATTAATACTTAATGCAATTATATTCTAGGTGGTGCGGACAAAAGAGATTTATAGGCAGATGAAGTTCCTACACCTCAATGTAACTGATGATGCTGATATCAAGAGACTGTGTCACATACGTATAATATACCTAGAGTAAGGAGCAAAGTTATCCACAGGAAGGCAGAAAAATGGAAACAGAACTGAACAAAAGAACAACAAAAAAGCTTAAGTGATCAGTATATCAATAATTACACCAACCAAGACAAATGTTGGTACAATTTGTGAACTTTTTTTTTTAAAATATTACTTTGAAAGTCCAAATTACATTGGAAGTGAACACATACATAACACACACTCAGAAAGAGCTATTTCAACTGGATCAATCTCCATAAGGCCACAGTGGACAGTGCTGGGCCAGGCTGAAGCCAAGAGCCAGGAGCTTCATCTAGATTTCCCACGTGCGTCACAGACACTCTAACATTTGGGCCAACTTCTGCTACGTTCCCCAGGCTCATGAGCAGGGAACTGGATTGGAAGTGGGCCAGCCATTATACAAACCAACATCCACATGTGATGCTAGCATCACAAGTGTTGGCTCTACCCACTATACCACAACAGGTACCCTTAGAGTGGATTTTTTATGGCCAACCATATACTGGCTAAGAGAAATGCACTTTCAATATGACTAGGCAGGCTGAAAACAAAAGGGGACAAAAAGATGCAACCTGCAATTAGGGGCTATGTGAGTATCGGGTGAAATCATCCAAAAAGCTTACCAAGAAAGAGATTGGCATCGCATAAATAATGGTATTCCCGTCCACAAGGAATCCACACATGCGCCCAACAGCAGAGCTACAAAAATGTAATACAGCTGGAAGGAGAAACAGACAAATTTACAATAGCAGCTGGAAACTTCAACACTCCTCCCTCAGCAACTGACGAAACAAAGAAGAACCCAACATTATCAACAGCCAACAGGAGGCACGTGATGCTTACAGAATGCTCCATTCAACCACAGTAGAACAGACGCTACCAAAACTACCAAAACGAGGCATTTCCCAGGCTGGCACAGTGGCAATGTGTTACCCTGCTGTTCAGAATGGCCGCATTGCACATCAGAGTCCGTTGAAGTCCCAGCTATTGGCGGAAGCCACCTTCCTGCTAATACATCCTGGAAAACAAACTCCAGGGCTTGGTTCCTCGCTGCCAGGAAGGGAGACCTAGCTGGGGTTTCTAGCTCCTCGCTTCAGCCCCACCCAGCCCTGGCTGCTGTGCCCACATCTCAGGAATGAACTGTCGCTCCCTCTCCCTTACTCACTGGCTTCATTGTCACTCCACCTTTCAAATAAATAAATCGTTTGTTTGAAAAAAAAAAAAAGACTTACCTTTATTGGAAAGTCAGATATACAGAGAGGAGATACAGAGAGAAAGATCTTCCATCTGCTGGTTCACTCCCCAAGTGGTCTCAATGCTGAAACGCACCAAAGTCAAGAGCCAGGAGTTTCTTCTTGATCTCCCACGCAGGTGCAGGATCCCAAGGCTGCTCAACTGGCCCGTCCTCAACTGCTTTTCCCAGGATGGAAAGCGGGGCCTCCAGGATACAAACCGGTGCCCATATGAGATTCCAGTGCCTGCAAGGCAAGGACTTTAGCTACTAGGCTACCGCACTGGGTCCCCAAATAAATACATCTTTTTAAAAATCCTCCAAAACATGAACCAAGACTATAGACCAAGGTTTGAGGTTGCCAGAACTTCAAGGAATATAAAAGAACTGAGTTGCGTAGTGTGTTCTGACTACAGTGGCCTCCAACTAACACAGAGCCAGAAATGATAGCCAAATACAGTTGTGAGTAAAACAGTATGGGTCAAAGAGGAAGACTGGAGGAAACACACACACACACACACATACACAATGAAATCTTCCCAAACGATTAAGTAAATAATCAACTAATCTCAAGGAATAACTTTTCACTAAGGGATTTTTTTTTTAAAGAGAAAAAGAAAGACTTGCTTTTAAACCTAAATATTACTCAGGAGTTTATTGGAACAGCCAGCCAATGGCCACGGGTCGTGCTAGAATCTCCCATTATAAACAATAGCCAACTTATATTTACTACGTAACTTATAAATTCTCTTCACTCCTACTGTGTCCAGACATCACTGGACCCTCCTAAAAGCACAGGGACAAGCGCCAAGAGAAACAGATCTGACACCTGCCAAGTGTAAGCAGATTCAAAACACACCCTTGCATGTGCTTTTCACGTTTGCCGTTACGATCGTGCGTGGACAGCACACGAGGCGAACACTTGGTGTGGATGAAGTTCCTGACCCCAGTCATACGGGGGCCGGTCCCTCCCGCCAGCCCCGCACCCAGAGGCGGTACGGACCCCAGACCCCGCGCTGTCTGTTCTCCCACACTCGCGCGTGCCACGTCCAGGACGTGGGAACCATTTGCAGGGTGAACAGGAATCCAAAGAAAATCCTCGCTTCCTGAGGTGGGGTCGATGGCCAGAGCGCGGAAGGGGCGCCTCTTTCTCAGGGCGCTGGGGAGGCCCTGAGGAGACCAGGCGGACCAGGTCGGCGCCGACGGACGGGCGCCGGGGTGTCGGACCCGGTGCGGCCCCTCAGACCCCGCCACGCCCGGAGCGAGGACGCCTCACACGCGTCTCTCTCCCCGCAGCACCCCGCGCCTCACACCCCGACGCGGGCGACGGGGCGGTTGCCATGGCGACCGGGAAGCGCGTGAGCCTTGCCGCCGCCCCTCCCTCCGCGGCCGAGCCCGGGCAACACCCCCTCTGATTGGTCACGGCTCTCTCATTATGCAAATGGCTTGCGTAGACTCGCGGTCGGCTGCCTGACGTCACCGAGCACGGGGGGCGGGGGAGGCGCTCTGGGCGGCCGGGGCTTGAGGGGCTCGGGCAGGGGCAGCACTCGGGCGGGCGCCCCGGGCACCTCAGGCAGGCAGGCACCCCGGCGTGCCGGCCGCCGCCCCTGCAGGCCCCGCCCCCTCCGCGGCGCGGCCCCGCCCCCTGCAGCCCCGCTCGCGCCGCGGCCCCGCCCCCTGCAGCCCGGCTCGCGCCGCGGCCCCGCCCCCTGGCCCGGCCTCACACGGGTCCAGGGCGGGGCGCGGGGCGCGGGGCGCGGGCGGCGGGCGGGACGGGGACATGGCCGCGGCGCCAGGGGGCTCTGCGCCGCCCGCCGGCCCCGGCCCGCGCTTGGGCTTCAGCACCGCGGACAGCGGCTCGGGCTCGCGGAGCCCGGCTCCCGCCGTGCCCATGAAGGACCACGACGCCATCAAGCTGTTCGTGGGGCAGATCCCCCGCGGCCTGGACGAGCAGGACCTGAAGCCGCTGTTCGAGGAGTTCGGCCGCATCTACGAGCTCACGGTGCTCAAGGACCGACTCACTGGCCTCCACAAAGGTGCGTCCCTCGCCTTTCCCCGCCTTCCCCGCCGCACGTGCCGGCCGCCCACCCCCTCCGGGACCCAGGCCCGCCCGAACCGCCCCACTTTTCCCTCTCTCAGGAGTCTCGGCGCCCCCGGCATCTCCCCACTCGGCTGTCTCCTCAGCGGGCCCCGACCTCCGACTGCTGTCCCCGTGCCCCCTTCCACCCACCTCCTTCTTCCTGACCCCCTCCGCGCCTCCCGTGCCACCCCCTCCCCAGGCCCGTGGCAGGCTTGCAGGGAGAGGAGCCCCCCGGGGTGGGGCGGGCGCGGGCCACACCCCTTTCCTGCTGTGGACCAAGCCGGCAGGGGCTTGTTTACAGGAGCGCTGGGCTGGAGTAAGCTGGGGTCACGTGTGCAGTGTGGGCAGGGAAGGGTGAGGACCCTGATCTGACCCCCTGCCGCGCTGTGCTTTGGGGAGGGGGCTTTCTTTGGCGTGGACCATGCTCACGCATCCTCCATGATCTTCCCCAAGGTGTATTCTTGGGGACTGGCACAAGGAACCTCACTGACCCCCACTCCCTTTGCAAGGGGCTGGGACCTTCCGGGGTGGGGCTGTTGTTAGAGTGGACTTCAAAGGCAGGAGGGAGGCTCCTTCAGGCTCTCTGTTCAGCCTCTCATCTTCCCAGTCTGTAATAGCTTACTTTCTCCCTGTGTGCACACGCAGTCAGGATTACACAGCTAAGTCTAGGTGGAGAAGTGTTGGAAACCGTCTGGCTCGAACACTTTAACTGTTCTCTCATAGTCCACCCCTGCCCTCATCCTGTTTTCACATTCACCTCTCCCTCAAGCTGTCTGTCTGTCCTGGCAGGTCCGCAAAGGGCTCCTTTAGGGAGTGGAGGAGGAGGGGGCCGGTGGCCCCCCGGGGTAGGCTGGGGGAGACAGGCCCCCGCCCGGTTCTGACGTCAGACGAGATGACTTGGTAAGCCGGGACGTGAGCAGTCAGGTGTTTGCTGGTTGGTGTCCAGATGAGCCAGCCGTTCACCAAGGCCGGGTTGCCTTGCCAGCCAGCCACAGAGGGTCTCCCATTCCATGCCCCCTCCCTGGTGGCAGTGACGTCTGAAGCTCGGATGATGTGTTTTCCTTGTGACGGCTGGCACAGGAGGAGGCAGCCGTCTTGCTCTGAAAACCCCCCTGACTAGGGGTGAGTAGTCGTCCGGCACTGTCCACGGCTCACTATCCAGTGTCCCTTTCCCCATGGATGTGAGGAGAATTTGGCCCCCAAAGCTCAACAGAGAGCAGACTCTTTCCCCCCAACCCTCATCTTCAGAGGACAGACGCAATGAAGACGCCAGAAGCGCCTGCCACAGCCTTTCCGGTCTGCAGTGGGCTCATTGAGGCTGTGCCCGCTGGACGCCCACAGCTACTCTCTCCACCTCGGGGCCTTCTCCACCCTGCCTGCTCTGACGGAGCAACTGGCCTGCTCCAAACACTCCAGTGGTTCTCTTAATTCCATAGGAAAAGGTTTGAATCCAGCCAGGACCATCGTGGCAACTAATGCGCAGAGTCCTGCATCCTTCCAGTTGCTCCGACTGCCCACCAAGCTGCAGCCGTGCCAGCCCCCTGCCTTGACACAGTTTTCCCATATGCAGTCCCCTTGCCTAACACGGTTACCATCTTTCTTGTCAGGCTGATCTTGTTCTAGAGGCTGTGGCTTCTTCTTGGTCATTCCCCAATCCTTTCCACTCACGTCAATCCCTGGGATCCAGCCCTCCCAGGGTCACAAACACCTATCCTGTCGAGTATTCAAGCATTTTCTGTGTGAGTGAGCACCCAGAAAGGCAGAGGGCCCTGCCTTGGAGCTAAACAGAGTTGGGCCCGAGCCCTTTGGCTCACCACAGACCCTGTCCCTGCTGTATATCTGCTGGCCTGTTCTGGGGGGACTCAACAGCCCAGTAATGCTTTGAGGTCCTATAGTAAAACCCTGAGAGAGCTGATGGGACTGGGGGGCCCTAGAGGTGCCACCCACAGGAAGCTCTTAAACCAGTGTCCTCCAGCAAGCCTGTCATCAGGCTACTCCCCAGTTTGAGATTCAGGGCAGGGAAGTGGAAGGAGGGAGCTATGACATCCTGGCCATGGTTCCCCAACCCTCTTCTCTGAAACTGAGTTGAGGAAGAATCGAGACTGATCCTGGGAGACTGTGAGAAAGGCTGAGGGGTGGGGGTGGTCTGTGTCAACAAACAAAGCAAAGCCCTTCAAACAGATTGAACCGCAGCAGAACCAATGGCTGGTGTGGGAAGGTAGATGTGGGATTGTAGGAGTGTTTGCCTGGGCCTGGCCAGGAGGCCCCAGGAGCCAGGGACAGGTCTCCAGGCACATGTAGACCTTCCCACAGAGCGCACGGGCAGCAGAGAAGGTTCCTTGGAGGCAGTGGCCCATAATTTATCAACTTGAAGTCTTGCCTAGAAGAGTGTTTGCAGGGTTTCCAGAAACCCTGACTCTGAACAAGCTTCTTCCTCCTCAGGTTGTGCCTTCCTCACATACTGCGCCCGGGACTCTGCTCTCAAAGCCCAGAGTGCATTGCACGAACAGAAGACCCTGCCAGGGGTAAGTGTACAAGGCCGGGGCCCTGAATGCATGCCACGGCAGCAAGGGTCTGGGTGGACCCAGATCGAGAATCAGAGCCGTCCCTGTAGGACAGAAGCCACTGACACCAAGAGCAGCTGCAAGCTCGTTGTTACCCTCTGGCTCAAGGTGCCAAACCATCCTGGAGGAGAGATGGCAGTGCTGTGGGCTAAGCATGCTTTTGCTCACCTTGGCTGGGGCCCTGCTGCTCGGCTATCCTGCCTTCCCCAGCCCAAGGGTCCTGGGTGGCACACTTCCTTCTGGTCACTTCCTGTGGCAGTTTTCCTTGATGAAGGGAGGGGAGGTGGTAGGGTGTGACTCACCAAAATGGTCTGCCCTCAGACTCCAGGAACCTGGCTGAAGCTCAGGAGACTCGATTGTGTGGGCTGTTGGGCTTGGAGGTGCTAACAGGCTGGTTGTAGTTTTGGCTGACAGGTGACCTCTGTTTCCTGACAATGAGGTGAAAAGCGGCAGTTGCTAGAGCCAGCACGAGCTGATCAAGAGAGTTGAGCTACACAACCTCCTTTTCTTGTCCAAGGAGGAATGTATTGTAGAACAAGGGTGCTATCCAAATGCCCTTCGGTGGGGGAGACAGACCAAGTATAGAACTGTGTGCAGCTGTAAGCCTCAGAGGTGAGGAGATCGTTAGCTTGCAGGAAAGAATCCAGGATGGACTGGAGGCAGAATATGTTGTGGGTTGTGATTTACGTGGATTTGGGGTATCTGGCTGGAGAAGATGGTTTTAGTGAGAATTCACCAGGAGGCATCAGAAGGTGATTGTTCACAGATCTTGGTGTTGGACTCTCAGACTTGGATTTGAACCCCAGCTCCACCCTCTGCCAGCTCTGTGTCTTGTCTCTAATGGATGGGTTAAGCTAGCATCCAGTTCCCTAAGCTGCAGGGAAGGAGAGATTTGGTGCAGATTAAGACCTCAGTAAGTATCACTGCTGGCTGAGCTGCCACCTCTGTATCCCGGAGAGGGGCTTGGTTTCCCTTGGGTGTCCGTGGAAGGCAGGTTTGGGAGGAGACATCCATTCCACTTGGTAAAAGGCACTCAACTAACACCTCTGAACCGGAGCTGGCCAGCAATGGAGCAGACAGCTGGAAGTTGCTCGAGTGGATCCAATCCTAGATTCAGTCCTAGAAACTAAAGAAGCTTGGGCTTTCCTCCTTCCCCTGACCGGAGGCCCAGTGCCAAGTGCCATGAATGCATGGCCGTGGAGTCCCACAGCTGAGAGTGAGCATTCAGGCCCTTCCAGTTCCCAGCTCTGTGGCCTGAGGATCATGCCAAGTGCATAGCACACATTTCTGGCAGAACGCACATGCTCAGTGGTGGTGCCAGTGACGGTGGAAAGCACAGGGGGGGTGGGGATTGCTGGGTCAGTGTCCCAGGGAACCAGAACACAAGAGGCAGAGGAGCAGCATGGGAGAGGCATGACAGATGAGATGGGGCAGGACTGGAGGTTCCATGGAGAGGGTCCACAGAAGGGACTTGGAATGCAAGGCTGAGAGAGGGGCGTGTCTTATCCTGGGGAAACACTAAACACTACCAAGAAAAACCTCTTCCCTCCGCAAGCCACAGGACCACCCAGATGCGGGTTTCTTGGGGGCTCGCTGACATGAGGGTACCTGGGACGAGGCCTGAGCAGACCTGGAGAACTTGGAGAAATTCCTCCAGGAGGATAAGGTCACAACTAAGCAATGCTTATCCCTGTGGCCCCAGCACCACCCAGATGCTGAGCCATCCCGGACTGTAAAGCAGGTATCCACTTCTCAGACAAGAAAACTGAGCCCCACAACTCTGGGCCCTGTTGGCTTGACCGCGGAGCCCTCCATGCACATACTGCTCCATTGCCCAAACCAACCTGGGGGCGTCCAAGGAACTCCAATTCCAAAGAGGCCCTCACTCCCTCCCACTCTTCCTCTGCGGGCCCCAGTGAGGCCTGGTTTCCTTGGGGTGGCATGACCATGACTATCTTTGTCTTGTCTCCAACTTAACCAAGTGAAGAATTAATATTTAATTCTTCTCCTAAATGAAAAATCGATGGCCATGTTGGCCAGCTCCAGCAGTGTGTGTGCCCATGGTCTTCCCTCCCCTCCTGCATGGCAGCTGACCTCAAAGCCCTTCCTCAGCCCTGAGCATGGGCAAGACCCCACACCCACACCCAACCCAGAATGCCCTGAACACTGGGCGCAGCTGCCCCCTGCTGGAGAAGCAGAGACAAGATTTCAACCCCTTGAGGCTGCCAGTGGGAGGCTGCCATAATTGTCACTGCCTGACCAAGAAAGGCAGACTTAGCCCCCAAAGCACAATCAAGAACCCAGGGGACATTTCCTGGGGTCCTCATGTTGTCCCCCTATCATCCTTCAACATTTGGGTCCCTGTCAGGGATTTCTCCTAGCCTCAGCTTCTGTCCTCCCAACACACACACACACAAATATATCAGGCTCCCATGAACCTGTATCCCACTCCCTCCAGTCTCTGTCCCGTGAACCTACAGCATCTTCTTTCATCTTCACTGCAGGTTCTAGAATCTACCTGGAGAGGGTGAGGCACAACCCCTTGAGCTTGTCTCCTTGCTCGCAACCCTAATTCCTTGAGAGACCCATCCAGTCAGACAGTTCTGAGGGACAGGCGGCATTTGCTCATATAGTTTACGGGCAGAGTGCAAACGGCCACTGACATCGAGTTGCTCTCTGGACTCAACCGAGGACACTGTGGTGGGGTGCAGGCACTGTGCATTTTGATCAGCGAGAGCCGGAACCTAGAAGTTGCTTACCACAACGCCACCTTGTTGGGGTTTACATGGGGGACTTGGAAGAGCACGGGGAGCAGGACACGGGAGGGCCTGAGACCACTGGTGATGTCCTGGGTGTGGGAGAGCCACAGGAAAGGCGTGTGCACACAAGACTGGGGCTCCTGGGGGGAATGGGTCATGTGTGTTAGGCAGCCCAGGAGTTCCTGCCATGTTGACGGTTTGTAGTAGGGGAGGCAGGGGCACAAGAAAGCAGAAGGATCCATCAAATGCCTTTAAGAGATTACCCTGTGTAGGGCCAGGGTCAGAAGAGTGACCCCTCAAGACTGTGCTGCTTGCGCACAGACCAATGACAGTACTGGCCGGAGCTATCCAGGACAGGGAGGATGAGAGTGGTATGCTTGGGATGTCAGTGCAGATCCCAGAAGCCACTGGACTTGGTATTGGATTGAATTATAACAACAGATACAGGATGATGGTGCTGCTTCCTCCTTCCTCCCTCTTTCCTCCTCCTTCTCTTCCTCCTTTGTTTATTTGAAAGGCAGTTACAGAAAAATAAAGATACATTGCCTATCCACTGGTTCATTCCCCCAATGGCCGCATGGCCCAAGCTGGACCAAATCGAAGCCAGGAATCTGGAGTTTCCATCAGTTCTCCCACAATGGATGGGAGGGGCCCAAGCACTTGGGTAACACTCCATTGTTTTCCTGAATGCATTACTAGGAAGCTGGATTGGAAGTGGAGCAGCCAGGGTTCAAATCAATGCTTCTATGGGATGCCAGTGTCACAGGCAGTGGGTTAACCCACTGTGTCACAGTGCCAGCTTCTGATAATGCTGTCGTCTTTCTACCCCTCATGCCTCCTCTCCCACAGTCTTTTTTTAAAGATTTATTTATTTTTATTGCAAAGTCAGATATACAGAGAGGAGGAGAGACATAGAGGAACATCTTCCGTCCAATGATTCACTCCCCAAGTGAGCGCAACGGCCGGTGCTGCTCTGATCCGAAGCCAGGAGCCAGGAGCCTCTTCCAGGTCTCCCACGCGGGTGCAGGGTCCCAAAGCTTTGGGCCATCCTCAACTGCTTTCCCAGGCCACAAGCAGGGAGCTGGACGGGAAGTTGAGCAGCTGGGACACAAACGAGTGCCCATATGGGATCCCAGCTCGTTCGAGGAGAGGACTTTAGGTGCTAGGCCATCGCACCAGGCCCCTTATGTTTTTTTTTTTTTTAAGGATTTATTTCTTTTTATTGGAAAGGCAGATTTACAGAGAAGAGAGACAGAGAAAAGGATCTTCTGTCCACTGGTTCACTCCCCAAGTGGCCACAGCATCTAGGGCTGAGCTAATCTGAAGCTAGGAGCCTCTTCCGGGTCTCCCATGCAGGTGCAGGGTCGCAAAGCTTTGGGCCACCCTCTACGGCTTTCCCAGGCCACAAGCAGGGAGCTGAATGGGAAGTGGAGCAGTTGAGACACAAATAGGTGCCCATATGGAATCCCGGTGCATGTAAGGCGAGAATTTTAGCCACTAGGCTACCACACTGGGCCAAACATTTCCTTCTTTGAGGATATTGTGGTGAGGTTTCCTCCCATGGTGGAGCAGTTGGTATCAGGACAGAGTAGTGACGAAGGCAGTGCTAGGCCTGATGATGAGTGTTTTAGATGAGCCAAACAGAAGTTGGCGTGGGGGGTCTGCTTGCCCTTCTGCCAGCTGGGTTAGATGATCCGGAACTGCTTCCAGACGTATCCCTTTTCCTCCACATCACCTGGAACAAGTGGTCTTTGCCTGTTCTCTGGAGCTGGACTCTACCTGAGAAATTCAAGAGAATCAGGTACTCATCCAGATAGCAAAGTCACGTGAAGTGCCCACATGCCTGGATCTCAGACCCCTTGCACACTCACACCCATCCCACAGCTGTAACAGAGATGGAGCAGGGCCATACCTCAGTGGCTTATGTGGGCAGCCACGCACAGGCGTTCTCCAATCCTGGAAGGCCTTCTTGGTGACCCAAGGGCCTAGGTGCTGGGGACTCTGCTCTGCAGTTCATTCCCACTGCCTTCTGTGCTAGACCACGCTGTGCTCACCACTTGGCCTGTGTTGGGCTCTTCAGTCTTTTCTCCATGGCTTATGGGATCTCTCATCCAACAGAACTGACTGGGTTCGTTTCCCCACTGCAAACAATACAAAGCTGATACTCTGTGTTATGGCTTGCACAGCCTGCAACCTTTTTAAAGTTTGCATCCTTCCATAAAACAAAACCACAACAAAACAACAATGCCATTCCCATCTGGTGCACCTGCTCAGAACGAGCCATTGTCAAATTTTCCCCACAACCCTGGAAGTTAGGATTATGAATGCTTCTTTTACTGATGTAGGTGCTGAGACTCCAAGACCTTACCAGGAATTCCCGGGGGTAGGGCCAGGATGACAGCTCCCTGCCCACAGCCCACAGCCCCACCTCAGACGCAGGCGCAACAGCACCCCCCCTTCATGAAGCTTCCTGAGTCAAGCCATCCACCTGTCCACCACCCTGAGGCTCTGACCCCTCCCTGCCTCTTTATCTGTGCTCTAATGCCACTGACCTCAGCTGCTACTTCTCCTTCTATAAAACGGCCCAAAAGAATAATCTTGTTATTAGAAGGACGTAGAGACGCTGTATGTCAAGTGACCGAATAAGCCCGTGATGCAAAGGGCTGTCATCATGGGCCCTCTGGGGACCTGGGGCCTGTCCAGCTTCCCAGGATTGTTACAGAGTCCAGGAGGCTCAGATTCTGTCTGGCCCAGGACACTGTGTGGACTGCCTGGTGCCTCTGTCCATCGGAGGAGGACATTGGTTAAGTGGGTGGAAGGTGGGAGGGGTCGTCCGCACCAGCAGCACAGGCTTCCAGGAGACCCAGCAGGAGGCCGCTGCCATGGAAACAGCTACTGTCAGATGTGCCTGTCCAGGCTCCAGAGAGACATTCTCAGGATCTATTTAAGAATTAATAAAATAATGATGGTCTCGCTCACCTCACTGCTCCCTGCCTGGCCCCCACCCAGCCTTGGCCCTCCTGGCCTCTCCTGTACCCACTGCCTTCCAACCCTGCCCTCTTTGCCACACCTTTCTGTTTCTTGTGATCTCTCTTCACTTCTGCCTCTCTGTGTTTCTCCACCACTCCCCAAGTCTCCACTGCCTGCAGCTTTGTTCCTTGGTCACAGGTGGCCATGTCCAGGAACAGGTTCTGTCCTCGTCCTCAACCCTGGCTGTCCCAGACCTGTCCAGCTCACTCTGATCATCAGTGATCTCGCATCTCCAGACTCCGATCGTGCTCTGGCCCCGACCCATAGCCGTCACACCACAGCTCCCACCCTCACCGGTGGCTGTCGGGCCTGGGTGGGAGGGGCGTTGTGCTGGCTCAGGCTTGGCTTGTTTTCCTCCCACTTCTGCTTCTCCTTTTTTTTTTTTTTTTTTGGTTAATATTTCCTCCCCACCCTCCTACCCCCAAATCTGATCCAGAGGAAACTGCTCAATTGTGACTGCCAGTGTGTTACCATGGTTACTGGGTAGCACTTGTGGCTATGGTAACACGAAGCTGCCTGTTGTCCCGGCAACGAGCACACTGTTCAGGGATGGAGTGGCCCCTGATTGGTGCAGTAGCTGTATGTTTACTGAGGGGCGGGGGTCACCTTGTCAGCTGCTCAGGTCAGGTAAGCACCAGTGTCCCTTCCTCTGTGGTCCAGCAGGCTGCCCTCCCAGCACTCCGCTGTCTGCCCCCAACAGTAGCTCTTCACTCCCCATGCACTCAGCTCCCGGCAGTTCACAGAGACTTTTGCTTTCCCCATAACCTCATGTGAGCCCCACCACACCCATGATTGGAAGGTGAGATGGGATTCATCCTGAATTTGCCCAGGGTGGAGGGTGTGGCACTTGGGGTCTGTGCCAGTCACCTAGGATTGTCCACAAGTCAAGATAGCCCTACTGTATGTGGCTGATAGGGTTTCCCCATCATACCCAGGCGGTTCTCACTAGCTTTGAGCGGGGAAACCCTGAACTAAAGGGTGAATCAGGGTGGGAATGAAGCAGAAAGAAGTAGAGCTGTTGCCCAGGGCTGGCTGGGGTGACCAGGAGGACCGGAGTCAGGTAGAAGATTGAGCCATGGTTCTACTGTGTTGTGTCGTGTGGATATGTTGACTAGGGTTTCCAGCCAAGATGTTCAGCAGGGAGCTGAGCACAAGAGTGTGAAGGCCAGGAGGGAGAGGACATGGCCGGAGACACAGCGCTGAGTCATCCCTGTGCCGACAGGGCTGGGGCTGTGCGTGTGGGTGCTGCCATCCAGGCCAAGTGGGCAGAGCATCCTCGCGTGGGAGAGCCTGGGCAGGGCCAGAAGCCTGGGTGTGGGCTGGGTTGCAGTCACGCACCTGGCAAGTGGCAGCAGGGGTGGTGATGGCCCTGAGCCTCATCCCCAGGTTTTTCATCCACACCCCACAGCTCTGTGTCTTCAGCTTCAGACAACAAACACTGGCTTGCCCTCAATACACTCATTTCGAGGCTGCCCTCCTGTCTAAACTCTTTTCCCTGAAATTTGGAGTCAACCCAGAGGCTAGAGGAAACAGGCCTCAAGGAATCCCTGCCCAGAGTACAGGCAAGGGGACCCCTTAGGTTGCCCCACCCCACTCCACCCTGCTTTGCCCGTGAGTGTCCTGTTGTCCATCTCTTTAGACGCCAGCAGCTTCTGAATGCCTGGGGCGAAGGAAGGAATATTAGAGAAAATTAGTGTAGGAGCTTAGATCCCAGGAGCTGGGGGGAGCAGGTGGGGTCAGAGCTAGGCTTTGGTGTTGACCAAAGTATTGATCTGATGTCTTCCAGATGAACCGTCCAATCCAAGTGAAGCCGGCTGCCAGCGAAGGCCGAGGAGGTAACATTCTTGTCCTACAAATCTATGGCTGTCCCCAACCTGGGACTGTGTGGATCCTCTGAAGTCCTCCTAGGTCAGAGGGAGGGGACACAGAGGGTCAAGAGCTGCCACAGGCACAGCTCATGCCAAGGAGAGGCCGAGGTCCTGTGGCCCAGACTCAAAGGAGGGGACAGGGGACAGGAACTGTGCTACCTCTCCCTGGACAGTGGTGGCTGCTGTGTTTCCAGGTGAAGCTTGTAGATTTGGTTAAAGGATCAGGCTGGGTTCTTTTCTTTGTGTGTGTGTGTGTATTTGTTTGTGTGTGTGTTTTCCTTTTGTTCTGGGTTGATCCATTCATTGCCTGGTTACTCATGGCACGAGATAAGGCAGACGCAGCAGGTGTGATAAGCCAGCTTGAGGAACAGAGCTCTGGGGACCATGAGAAGGCTTTGAAAGTGTTCAAGCCCTGGCAACATCCTTGTAGTGGGAGAACAGGGAGAGAACCTGACCATCCTGATAGCCAGCTGGGTTCCGGCTGGCTCCATGCTGGAAAGGCAATGCTGGCTGCTAACTCACTCTCTCAGGTCAGTCACCTCCTTGGCTCATTCATGATCACCCCAGGGATTTTGTTAAGCAAAAGCAGGTATTCAAGGTCAGAGAGAAAATGATACCTGGTTGGTGTGCACATACCTGGTCCTGCCTGATTCTACCTGTCAGAGGTCCTGTCCAGTGCCCAAGTGGTTCCGTCATACTGCTGATTCTTCCTAGAAACACTCTTGGCATCCTGCTGGACGCTGGTTCTTGCTCTGCAGTCAACACACCATCATCCATCCCCTCCTTGTCTGGGAAAGAAATTTCCAGGTTCCCCCTCCTCTACATACCCACATCCTCCTTTACGATCTCATTCTGTGCAGGCAAGGTTTTGAGATGTTCCAGGCCACGTGCAAAACCCCGGGTCCACATGTGCCAAGAACTTCTGCTTCTTGGGAAGCTCTGCTGGACACCAGGGCCATTGCTAACTTTCTTCCAGGCCTTGCGCACAAACACGGGACCCTCCCACACATAGCTATTATCTCTTCAGCCATTCAGCCAACATTTTTGGAAAACTTGCTGCACAAATATGAACTTGACATACCTGGACAAATAAACAGGGGCAGGGAGGGAGTTGCAATTCAGTATGGTCAGCACTTTTCAAGGGAAAGCCCAGGGACACTGAGCAGACACCAGCAAAGTACACCCAACTTAGTCTGGAAACTGCAGATGAGCTCCCAGAGGGAATAATATTCAAGGTGTGATCTCAAGGGTGAACAGGAAGTAGTCAGATCAAGAATGGGAGAAAGAAGGAGCAGGTTTCTCAGGCAGAGGGGACAGTGTGTGCCACAGCTCCAGAGCTCAGCACAACAGCATACAGCTGGAGGTCTTAGCGCACAAACTCATCTCGCAGGCGCCAGCATTGTGGTATAGCAGATTAAGTCACCCCCTGCAATGCCATCATCTCATATGTGTGCTGGTTCGAGTCCCAGATACTCTACTTTCAATCCAGCTCCCTGCTAATGTGCCTGGGAAAGCAGAAGATGGCTGAAATACTTGGTCTCTGCACTCGCATGGGAGATCTGATGAAGCTTCTTGGTACATGGCTTCGGCCTGGCTGTTGCAGCCACTGTAGGGAGTAAAGCCGAAGGTGTAAGATCTCTCCCTCTCTCTTTGTCTGTGTCACTCCACCTTTCAAATAAGTGAACAAATCTTTCAAAAAAATTAAATAAAAAAATGAAAAAGCAAACTCCACAGTGCTAGCATGCTCCTGTGATGTAGAGTCCAGCATACTAGTCAGTCTTTAGGTAGCTACACGAAGGATGCCTGGGTGTCCATCAGGCTTCTCCCTGGCTTCCTGGCTTCAGTATGAGTTTTCCAGCTTTGCCGGAGTCCAGCTCCAGCTGAGTTCGGAACTCACGAAGCGTGCGTGGATGAGGCGCAAAGAGGAAAGAAAGAGACGGACCACTAGGAATTCTTGATCATAATGGACAATGCAGGAAAGCTGTCTGCTTTATTTATACAGAATCAGTCAAACTCTGGCTCAGACTTTTTACATCATGGTCAAGTGGGTGTTTCTAAAGATAACTCTGCCATTTGTTTCACCTAAGGCTAGGATGTTATCCACCTGGCGCCTGGCACCTGGCTAGGAAAAAGTTCTCAATAGATGGTACATATCAATCAGTAACACATTCCTACCACAATTACTCTATAGCTTGGCCTTGAGACAGTCAAGGAAGGAAGGACTTCACAGGAGGGACCTAAAAGATCAAAGAAAGAGGGAAAGAATAGATTCCACTACACCTGAAGACAGAACACCCTTGATTAGCATAGGATCAAAAGGGGAGTTAGCACCCTTGATTAGCATATTGCTACAGGATGCAGCCATAACAGCAATAACAGCTTTTTGGCTAAAAAAACCCGGTAGCAGCAATATCAGCTTCTAAGCTCCTATTGATATTTAACAGTAACTCCGCAGAGGCAGACAATGCCTAAATAGATTACGGAAATCTCAATGGGGTTGTCTGGTGTCCATGCAAAGGGAGGCGGAGCTGCATTCAGGTGTTGTAGAGACATCCACCCGGCCCTGCCACACAGCGGGAAATTCCTTGCGGCCTTGCCTGCAATAGAACAATACTCTTCACACCTTCCTGTCTTCCACACCCATCACACGGACCCCAGCACAGCTTTCCTCCTCTCTCCTGTACAAGTTGGCAGATTCTGTCTGGGTCATCCCACCTATACACCTGTTCAGGTTCAGAGCAGGAAAATTCACAAGAGCATGAAAAGCAACTCAACTCTGGACAAGCCTAACACCTGAATTCCTAGATTGTTGTATTTCTTAAAAAAGAAAAAAAAATTATTTATTCTTATTGGAAAGGCATACTTACAGAGAGAAGGAGAGACAAAGATCTTCCATCCACTGGTTCAATCCCAAAATGGCTTCAGTGGCCAAGCTGAGCAGATTCGAAGGCAGGAGTCAGGAGCTGCTTCTGGGTCATGCAGGTACAGGGTCCCAAAGTTTTGGGCCATCCTCCACTGCTTTCCCAGGTCACAAACAGGGAGCTGGAAGGGAAGTGGAGCAGCTGAAACACAGACCAGCACTCAGATAGGATTCTGGTGCATGTCAGATGAGGACCTATCCACTGACCCACCACATGAGGCCCTGAATTCTCAGGTTTAAAAGCCCAAGGGTGCAAAGGAATTTCTTGGTGGAATGATTGAGTGGAGCTTCTAAATGTGCTGCGAAGAATCCCTGCAGGTTTTGGTTAGGAGATTTTTTCTGTTCTCCCTGCTCTCTGTGTTTTGGAGAGAAGGGCCATATGGAGGGGAAGGAAGGCTTACAGAACAGTTCCTCCTGAAAGTGTATCAGTATTTTAATTCTTGTTGGTCTGTTAAATAATCTTATTACTAATCAGTGCTAACACGTATCTCTTCTAAGCTGAGTTCAACCCTCTGTTGATTTAAAAAAAATATATATATGTATTTATTTTTATTGGAAAGATAGACTTACAGAAAGAAAGCTCTTTCATCCACTGGTTCGCTTTCCACATGGCCACAGTGGCCAGAGCTGAGCCAGTCCAAAACCAGGAGCCTCTTCTGGGTCTCGCACATAGGTACAGGGTCCCAAGGCTTTTTGGGCCATCCACTGCTGCTTTTCCAGGTCATAAGTAGGGAGCTCGATGGGAAGTGGAGCAGCCAGGACATGAACTGGCACCCATATAGAATGCCAGTGCTTGCAGGTGGAAGATCAACTAATTGAGCCATCATGCTAGTCCCAGAACTCTGCTGTTTTCTCTGGCAGGAACTGTGGTCTGCTTTTTTACTGTAACACAATAATTACAATTCAAATAGTATAGAAGTTCAGACAGCCCTAAATGACCAAGACTGCCTTGATTTAGTATGAAAATTAAAACATTGATTTTATTAAATATCATTCAGTTAACTTTTTTGAGAGACTTATTAGTTTATGTATTTATATATTTGAAAAGCAGTGTAAGAGAAAGAAGAACCTTACATTTCCTGGTTCATTTTCTCAGCTGGCTGCAACAGCCAGAGTTGATCCAAGCTGAAGTTGATGCAGGAGAGAGCCAAGAACTCTATCCATGACTCCCATTTGGGTGTCAGGGACCCCTCTCCGGGCGCATTAGCAGGGAGCTGGGTAGGAAATGGAGCAGCCAGGACTCAAAGCTGGTGCTCCTGTGGCATGCTGATGTTATAGGTGGTGATTTAACCCTCTGTGCCACAACTCCAGCCCCCGGTTGTTTAAAGCAGACCAGCCCTCTCAAGGCCTGACCAGCTCTTTCAGAGACTGCTGTGTTTTGCCACCTGCCACTGAGTTCCTGTCCATCACGCGCACACAAGCTTCTTAATACAAAGGGCAACTTCCTATTCTGGCTCTTGAAGTTGGAGGCCAGCATATCAGAGTAGGATAGCCTTCCTGCTTTTCATCAGTAAACTCATGGCTTGTGGGTGGAGTAGCCAGGACACCCACCCTGTCTGTCACAGCACTGAGCGTGAGGTCGGTGTCTCCTGGTCTGCCCTAAGACACTGCAATAGGACAGCCTCACCCCTCTCGTGCCCTGCCTCCAGACCAGAAGCCAGGACTCTCTTCTTCCTTGCAGCCACACAACCCCAGCTGTGCCTGCCTGGACTCCCAGAACAGCGCTTTCACATTTTCCCGCCAGTTGCAGGCTGTTTACAACTCCACAGGCCACACCCACATTCTGCATCTGTGGCAATGACACAGTTCCTAGGAGACAAAATGCATCTCATTTTCCAAGATGAGGCTGTCTCCTGCCACACTCAAGGCACTTACTTCTACATTAAGCTTACTTAAGGCCAGAGCCTTTCCCTAAGCACTTGACTGTGCTTGGTTGTGAACATTAAATGTTTATCTGGTGTGAAAAAAAAACCCTTCATGTACTTCAAAATGTTGACTTGTGGGACTGGCATCAAGGTATTTTAAGCTTCTGACTTTGGCTGCCAGCTCATGTGAATGCTAATTCAAGTCCCAGCAACTCCACTTCTGACCAGAGAAGGGGAGACAAAAAGAGATCTTCCTGTTGGTTCACTCACCAAATTGCCACAATGGCCAAGACTGGGTCAGGGTGAAGCCTGGAGCTTCTCCCAGGTCTGTGACGAGGGTACAGGGATCCAAGTACTTGGTCACCTTCCACTGCTTCCTAGGCATATTAGCAAGGAGCTGGACCAGAAGTGAAGCATCAGGGTTCAGAATAGTATCTCAGCTGGCAAATCCTCCCCTTCACGCACCAGCATCCTTCATGGGCACCGGTTCATGGCCTGCCTGTTACACTTCCTTTCCAGCTCCCTGCTTGTGGCCTGAGAAAGCAGCTGAGGGACGGCCCAAAGCCTTGGGTCCCTGTACCTACATGGGAGACCCAGAAGAGGCTCCCGGCTTTGGATTGGCTCAGCTCTAGCCGTTGCGACCACTTGGGGATTGAAACAGCAGATGGAAAATCTGTCTCACCTTCTCTCTATAAATATGCCTTTCCAATAAAAATCAATAAATCTTTAAAAATAAGGTGGAGCATCCAAGACTCAAGCTGACATCCCTGTAAGGTGCTGCAATCCTAGATGGCAGCTTGACTTGCTATGCTGTAATCTTTATACTGTGTCCCCTACTGTTACTGTTTGTGGGGACCATGCTGTTTTCTGTAGTAGCTGAACCATTTTACATTCCCCCCAGCAGTCACTCCTGTGAAGAAGCTAGGGCAACACCTCCTCATGTGATTGGTGTTCCTCTGAAAGGATCTTCTCATTGTCTTAGTGCTTATTTGCATATGTTCCTTGCAGAACCATCTGTTCCAATTGTTTGCCCAATTGTTAGTTTTGATTGTTGAATTGTAGGAGAATTTTACACATTCTGGATAATATTCCTTATCAGTTATGCTATTTGCAAATGTTTTCTGTCATCCTATTGATATCTTTCTATTATTTTTTAAAGATTTATTTTATTTTTATTAGAAAGTCAGACATACAGAGAGGAGGAGAAACAGAGAGGAAGATCTTCCATTCAATGATTTACTCCCCAAGCGACCACAATGGCTGTAGCTGCGCTGATCTGAAGCCAGGAGTCAGGAGCTTCCTCCAGGTCTCCCACATGGGTGCAGGGTCCCAAGGCTTTAAGCCATCCTTGACTGCTTTCCCAGGCCACAACAGGGAGCTGGATGGGAAGCAGGGCTGTTGGAATTAGAATCGGCACCTATATGGGATCCCGGCACATACAAGGCGAGGACTTTAGCCACTAGGCTACCATGCTGAGCCCATGATATCTTTCTATTATTAATAGAGTCCTTTGACGTACTGAAGCCTTTCAGTTCATTGTAGTTTGATTTTATCTATTCTTACTTTTGCTACCTGTACTTTCTGATTGTATCCAGGAAATCATTGCCAAATTCAATGTTTATTCTCTTAGATCTCTGTGAGCTTTTACATTTAGGATTTAGCCACTTTCAGCTAATTTCAGGGTAAAGTGCATGTAGCTTCATTCATTTGCATGTGGATATTCAGTTTTTCCAACCCCATTTAGTGGAAAGACTGTCCTTTCCCCATCAGAGGTGTTTGGCACATTTGTCAAAAAGTGTTTAACCCCCATTGGAAGGTGTCTGACTCCCACTTCTATCTCTGCTTCTGTACATCCATCTTTATTTTATGCCAGTTCCAAGTTGTGGCATTTACTGTATTTTTGTAACAAATTTGAAATCAAGGATTTCGTCTCTTTTTTCATGATCAAGTCCCAGCCCAAGTTCCAAGTACCTCAGCACAGACACAGCAGTCTCACAGCAGCCACAGGGGGCTGGACCCCTCTCTCTCCAGGGTCGGGCTCCCAAGGCTAGCCTTGCTGAGTTGCTTGCTGAGCCCTGACTCCCTTCCCCAGCACCCCTCCTTTCTGCAGGGACCACAGGCCTAGCTCGCAGCTCCCTTGCCTGGGGTTAGTGGTCCATGCAAGACTATGGGCAGAATTTGTCCTCCTTCCGCCAGCAAGAATCCTTGGGAGGGATCAGGGTAAGGGAGTGGGGCAGGTCAACAAGGAGGCAGTGAGGACCTGGGAAGGTGAATGTGGGGATGAGCTGGTGTAAGTGAGAGTTTAGGAGCCAGAGGCAAGGCCAGTGTCCCTGTGGCAATGCTCATCTTATCGCAGGCTCTGGAACCCATACTTCCTGACCCCAGTATACCTTTGGGAAAGGCATGCAAGTTGGATTTGGTGCTGGGGATGAGGCAGGAGGATGAGCAAACTATCTCCAATGCTTGAAAAAGGACATTTATTTTCATCTACTTGAAAGAGTGACTGTGTGTGTGTGTGTGTGTGTGTGTGTGTGTGTGTGTAAGAGAGAGAGACACACAGTCTAAGAATGAGTTGGTGGGGCTCCCACCCACTGTTTTACTGTCCAAATGGCCATAGCTGCAGGCACTAGGCCAGGCTGAAGCCAGGAGCCGGGAACTCCACCCAGGTCTCCCACATGGGTGGCAGAGTCTCAGGTCCTGGGGCCATCACCCCCTGCCTTCCAGGATGCACATTAACAGGTTGGGAGGCAGAGCAGCCAGCACTCAGAACGGCTCTCCAGTATGAGAAGTGGGCATCCCACCCAGCAGTTAAACACAGTGCATTCTGAGCTGTGTCCCCCCTCCTCCCCGACACTGGCCCTGTGCTTGTTTACCAGATCCTGGGTTTGGACTGGGAGGGTGCTTCTGGGCCAAGCAGCCAGGGTAAAGATATCTGAGTCCAGCCAGGCTTTCTCTGAGCACCAACTCCCTTCGCACCTCTGAGATTATGGGAAACAGCTCTGCCACACCCCAAGAACAGCAAGGTCCGGGGTATAAGCAGATGATGCCCACAAATAGCCACCCTGCTACTCTCGACCAGAGCAGTGGTGGCCCTTTGGGTCTTTTTAAATTTTCCTCTAGTTCATCTGGGAAGAAGGCTTGTGGGTGGGAGGCATCATTCCTGGCTTTGTCCCCAGAGGACCGAAAGCTGTTTGTGGGGATGCTGGGCAAGCAGCAGGGCGAGGAGGACGTCAGGCGCCTGTTCCAGCCCTTCGGCCACATTGAGGAGTGCACTGTCCTGCGGAGCCCTGACGGCACCAGTAAAGGTGACTTGTACCCCATTGAGACTTCCTAGTCACTCTGGGCCACTGGAACCTTTGGCCACTGTCCTGAGCCACCAACCTGAACCCTTTCATTCCTCCCCAGGCTGTGCCTTTGTCAAGTTCGGGAGTCAAGGGGAAGCACAGGCAGCCATCCAAGGCCTGCACGGCAGCCGGACCATGGCGGTGAGGGCGGCGCCAGGGGTGTACCACATGGTGCCTGGGTGGGACCCATGGGGTCAGTGCTCACCCGTTACCCCTGCACCGGCCCAGGGCGCCTCATCCAGCCTTGTGGTGAAGCTGGCAGACACGGACCGCGAGCGCGCACTGCGACGCATGCAGCAGATGGCCGGGCAGCTGGGCGCCCTCCACACTGCACCCCTGCCGCTTGGGGCCTGCGGCGCCTACACCACAGCGGTGGGTGCTGCCCACCGGTGGGGGGCGGGAGGCTGGTCGGGGCCCGCTTCTGGGCCCTGCACGCCCATCCTTTTTCTCTCCCAAAGATCCTGCAGCATCAGGCAGCCCTGCTGGCAGCAGCCCAGGGACCAGGCCTGGGCCCAGTGGCTGCAGTGGCGGCCCAGATGCAGCACGTGGCAGCCTTCAGCCTGGTGGCCGCGCCACTCTTGCCTGCGGCAGGTAGGGGGCAAGGGTGAGGCTAGTGAGACTGACCAGGCACTGGGCCCGCAGAGGAGTGGAAGGGGCGGATTGGGTGGAATGGAACCGGGTAGGGAGGACTGGGTGGGACAGGACCGGGGCAGGCCAGAGTGGTGGCCTGATCCTCTGGCACCTCCTGCCGCCAGCCGCCAGCTCCCCACCAGGTGGTGGCCCTGGCACGCTGGCTGGTCTTCCAGCACCCATCGGGGTCAATGGATTCGGCCCCCTGAGCCCCCCGACGAACGGGCAGCCAGGCTCCGACACGCTCTACAATAACGGGCTCTCCCCTTACCCAGGTGGGCGCCTCTCGCCCTGGCTCCACCCATATCCAACTGCTATGGGGTGGGGAGCTGGAACACTACTTCCCCAGGGAAGGGTTCACACCTCTAATGCCTTTCCCCCACTGTCCCACGGCCCTGCGCTCCAAGGGCCGCCTCACCCATGCCCGCCTTACCAGGCCTCTCGCTCTCTCTCCAGCCCCAAGCCCAGGCACGGACCCAGTGCAGCAGGCCTACGCAGGGATGCACCACTACGCAGGTTCCACTGAGGGGCCACAGGGGTGACTGGGGGGCAGTGCTGGGGAATTCGGAGGGGGAGGAGCTGATTCTTCTTTGTGGAGAAGCCTTTCTTTCCCACCCCAGGGGCAAGGGTTAAGGCTGACAGGGCTGGACCACTATGACGTGGCCAGCCCAGCTGCTGGGGCCCAGCTAGGGTGGATTCTGTCTCCAGCAGCCTATCCGGCATCATATGCTGCGGCGGTGAGCACGGCCTTCCAGCAGCCTGCAGCCCTGCCCCAGCAGCAAAGAGAAGGTGAGGGGCTGGGGCCAAAGACCAGGGCCCGCTGGGGCTGGACTCAGGGTCCACCCTGAACCAGCCTGCGACTGTCCCTGCAGGCCCCGAAGGCTGTAACCTCTTCATCTATCACCTGCCTCAGGAGTTTGGTGATGCAGAGCTCATCCAGACCTTCCTGCCCTTCGGAGCCGTGGTCTCTGCCAAAGTCTTTGTGGACCGAGCCACCAACCAGAGCAAGTGTTTCGGTGAGCCCGCCCTGCACCAGGGCTCTCTGCGTAGACCCTCAGGCTGCCCCCTCAAGGCACTGGTGTCCCCAACAGCACTGGCAATGGAGCTGCTCCTAGAACAAGAGCAAGCATTACTGTAGGCTCATCTGGAAAGGTCACATGCATATAAGACATTGGCTAGGGCAGAGCATTGGACCAGAGACCCTTCCAGCTGCTCGTGCAGTGCCAGGGACCAAATGGGAGCCACCATCCCCTACCCTACTGCCCCATCCTTCCAGAATCATATCTGTGGGATACTTGGGCCATTTACCCAATGTGTGTATGTGAGTGTGTGTGTGTGTGTGTGTGTGTGTGTGTGTGTGTGTATGTGTGTGTCAGAGTGGGTCTGAGTGAATGTGCATTTGTGTGTGATTGTATCTGTGGCTTGGGAGAAGACAGGCTTGTCAGAGAGACAGGCCTGCCAGGCAGGGTTCCCAGCTCACTTCTCTGTTGGCCTCCCCAGGCTTTGTGAGTTTCGACAACCCAGCCAGTGCCCAGACCGCCATCCAAGCCATGAATGGCTTCCAGATTGGCATGAAGAGGCTCAAGGTGCAGCTGAAGAGGCCCAAGGATGCCAGCCGGCCTTATTGACCTCACTGACCAGCACAGAGAGGTGAGGCCCCAAGTGGTGGTCTTCTTGGCTTCCTTGGCCGTATAGGCTCTGCTGAGAAGGAAGGGGTGGCGGGGAGCCAGGAGTGGAAGGAATCCCTGGAAGACAACTTGGAATTTCCCCTTCAGCCTCAGGCCTGAGAATACCCAGGCAGCCTGGCCTGGCCTCTGTGGGATGGAAGGGCCTGGCACAGCCCAGCACAGCCAGTCCTGCACTATACACCATCTGGGGACCACGGGAGGGAGAGCCCCTGTGTGCTGGAGCTGGGGGACTGGAAAATGGGAGTCTACCAGTGAGGGCCAGAGAGGCTGATGGTGGCAGAGAACTGGAACTCTAGGCCTGAGACAATGGCCACATCTGCAGACTGGGAGAGAAGCAAGCAGTCTCTAGAACTTTGCTGGGACATGTGGCTGGTGCTCAGAGAGATGACAATTTACAGGCTTTGAGAAGGTCCAGGGAGTGGCTGCAGCTCCTGGGGAGCTGCCCAGGAGCCCTGTGGAAGAGCACTGGGCTGGAACCCTCTGACCTTGCAGGTCAGGGTGACAGGGCCTGGAGAGAGGTTTATATACCCCCAGAATATGCCCAAGGGGCAAGCAGCCCCTGCTTTGGTCTTACCTCCAAGATGATATTTGCTTTTTTCCCCTCCCTCCATCTTCATTGATTAATACAGAAACGAAGAATGAGAGAAAAAGAAGGAAAAACAAGAAATGCTGGAGCCGCCCTTCCCAGAGAAGCAGCTATGAGTGGAAGTGGGTCGACTGAGGAGGCTGGGACCCAGGGCCATCCTGAGGGCTCGGGCCCCGGTTGCATCAGTGGGTTGCTCTACACAAGGTGTTGGCACCCAGGCTGGCAGGGCACTGGGGCCAGTGGAGGCAATGGGGGTGCCAAGGGCTTCTCTGCAAAGGAAGCCCACACTTTACTTCTCTCAAAACCATATCATTCCTTAGAGTTTAGGGACCAAAGGACTGTCTTTTTTTTTTTTTTTTTAAGAAAAAAAGTATATCTATATAAATTAAAACAAAGAAAAAAAAAAACACAAGAGAAACAAACAAAGACATTATAGCGTCTGGTAAAAGCTGCCTTTAGTATCTCTAGGAGACAGGGTGAACGATCCCCAGGAGCCTGGCCAGGCAGAGGGGGAGGCTGTGGGAAGGGCCTCCGATCCTTCTTAAGCTACTTCCCATCCTGCCCTTTCATGTAACCTGAGTACTTGGGGGATGGGCTCAGATGCACATCAGGATAGAGTTTGGGAGGCATTGACTCAGAAGGCACTGAGTGAGGCCTGGCCTCTGCCATCCTGAGAGGCCGCAGGTGCAGAAGCAGCAGCAGAAACCTGCCTCGCCCTCCTGGTGGCCTATCCCTTGCAGTCACTGCTGGCCCAGGCAAAGGAAGGGAGAGCTGGGATCCCCACAAGCTCCCACCCCTGCTGCCCAGTGTGGATGGATCAGAGGCACGGCCTTTGGCTGAGCTGAGACACCTCCTGTCCCCTCAACCTCCAGCCAGCTCCAGCGTCCCCTTGCCCCAGGCCACCTTCTGTCGCTTCATCTCAATTTGCTCACCCTATGAAGTGGGTTCAGGCTGCGGCTGCAGGATGTGGAAGTTCTGCCGCTGCTAGCAGGGGCAAGTCCTGGTGTAGGAACTGCAAAACTGGAGGTCTTCTTTACCCGGGACCACGAGGGGAGTAGACGATTGCCAAAATACTTCTTCATTCCTTTAGAAAGTACGCCTTTCCTATGCAAGTTTCATGTGCTCCTCCAAGGTGCTTCTAGATGGTGAGCCGTGTTCAGCTTAGAAGTGGTGTGTGCTGTCTGTCCGTCTTTGTCTGTCTGTTGTATACAGTGGGTGCCATATAAAGCTGGTCAGTGGTGGTGCTTGCTCCCTGCTTCTGTGAGATGGGCTGGAGACTCAGCTCAGAGCGCCGTCACCCGCCCTGCCTTGGTCACCCTGTCCTGGGCCTGAGGAGCCTCATGCATTACTTTCCCCTCCCCACAAGACATGGAGTCAACTTAGCATGAACCCCAGCTGAGGCTGGCAGCCTCTGATCTGACCCTGTGTCAGACGGGGCACGGGTGGGGGGCAGAGGGGGGTTCTCCCTCATGACGGTTTCTTAAGAAAATTTGTTGCCACCTGCTCTGTCTTTGACTCATTTTTGGCTGGAATGGGTACTGTGAAACCATAGCTCATGGCAACACCATGACCAGGTAGGGTGCAGCATCCAACTCAAGTCATTTCCAGCTGAGAGCTGGAACCCCAGCACCATCCCAGAGACTTACTGCCTGGACACCGCAGCAGACCTTGCACCAGATCCTCCCCTGGAGGCTGCCACTCCTCCGCACTGAGGGCTGGGGCGCTGGGCATGTCTTGAGGGCAAAGGCCAACCAGTGTTGCATGAACACAAAGGGGTGCACAGCTCTGTGCTAGCAGCAAGAGAAGGCTCTGGCTCAGACCTCCCTGGTGGGGGAAGGCAGAGAAAGGTTTCTTGAAGGAACATGAAGGGTCTTCTAGGATGCGCCAGGACATGTGCATGTCCAGTCACTTGAAGAAATTACCTCTATCACCAACAAGTTATCATTGCCATTTGCTCTGGGAGAGACAATGGATGTGAGATTCTTTTCCCATTCCTTCCTTCCTACCTCCTGAACCTCTGCTTGTCAAGGCCTAAAATAGCACACCTAGTGTTGTGGGTTTTTTGTTTTTGGTTTGCTTCATCCTTTAGGGTTTTGAATGGGAACCTTCCAGCACCCTGTGGGACTGCAAAGACTGTGCAGGGTTTGGCTCTGCTGAGGTCAGGATCAGGGCTGTGGGCCTGAGTGTATCTGACCTACAAACAAAACAAAATGGAGCAAGAATAGCTTTTAAATTTTTTTCCATGTGCTTTTTCATTTTTTTTATTGTATTTTTGACAATCTTTACATAGCTAATTAGAGTAAAAAGGTTCCGTGTGCTTTTTCATTTTTAAATGGTGTTTGAAGCAACAAAAGGGAATGAGACAGAGGCCCTCCAGAAGTCACCAAGCCCACCCTTTAAACAAAGTGTTGACTGACCCACAGTGAGCTCTCAGAAAGTTGGAGATCTCTGATGCGCTCCTACAGTGTGCTGTTTTGTGTGTCTGTATGTTTGTGTAGTCATATGCAATTTTCCAGCGGCAAGTACCAGAATCCCATCTCAAAACACATTTGAGTCAATAGGAAACTTAACATCATTGGTGAATCAGGCACAGCTGGTTCCCTAGGGGTTAAAGCAATGATGTCGCCATCTTGAGGCTCTGCTTCCCTCCCTGTGTTGGCTGTGCTAGTCAGCCCTAACATGCCACGGAGAACATCAGTCAGCTTTGGACATGGGTTTACAGGTCAGAGAGTGGGCCACCATAGTAACACCAACAAAACTGGGGGCAGGAAGGAGAGAAAAGGGCTCTCCACTGGGGAATGATGGGCAGATCATCAATATGCATCCTCAGAATATACCCTTGAGGAAAAAAAAAAAAACTTATTTGAAAAAGTGACAGAGAGAAAAGCAGAGAGCTTCCATCTGCTAGGTCACTCCCTAAGTGGCTGTATCAGCTAAGATGGCCAGGCTGAAGTCAGGAGCCAGAGACTCTATCCAGGTCTCCCACATGAGTGGAAGGGGCCCAAGTACTTGGCTCATCTTGGCTGCCTACCCAGACGCATTAGCAGGGAGCCAGATCATAGTAGAGTAACCAGGAGTTAAACTAGCGCTTCCAGAAGGGACGCCAGTGGCATCACAAGCAGTAGCTTAAGCCACTGTACCACATTACCCTTGCATGTACCCTTTGTTGCTTGTGTCTCTATTTTCCTTAATCCTAGACCCAACTCCAAACACCTATCTCTAAATGGGAGACAAAGCACACACACTACCAAAGATTCCTTGGGGACATGTGCCTTCCAATCATGTCAGGTTGTGACTTAAGAAAAAAAATTTTTTTGCAGTGTGTGATTGAAACCAATGTGAAACAGGGTGATTTTATAAAATCCCATTTAGACTAGAGAAGGGCAAACGTCAGTGGCTGCCAAATGAACAAGTGCAGCACGTGCTTCCACAGAACACAACATGTCCTGCTTCACAGAAGTGACTCCTTGCTTATTGGTTCTTTCCACTGGGCAAGATCTTTGTCCATAGCCAACCTCCATCTGCTCCAAGCTCAGCTGACTCCTGCTCCGATGCTCTCGGCCTCACTGGGGTGGTGGGAGGGGAAGAGGTGGTCAGAATCCCTGGGCATACCAGCTGTTAGACCTCAACCCCAGGAGGTGCTTAGGACACACCTGGGGCAACCTGTTCCACTCCTGCCCCTCCAGCCACAGCCTCTCCTAACCGTTAGGCTACATCACCAAAGGAACCCCAGGGTTGTGTCTGTCCATCCCGGGACAGAGTGAGAGAGCCCTCTGAGGACCTAGGTGCCGGAGTCCAGCTCCAGCCAAGTTTGCAACTCGAGAAAGGTGCGTGGATGAGGCATAAAGAGGAAAAAGATGGACCACTACGATTTCATGATCATAATGGACAATGCAGGAAAGCTGTCCACTTTAATTATACAGAAACAGTCAAACTCTGGCTCAGACATTTTATGTCATGGTCAAGTGGGTGTTTCTAAGGATAACTCTGCCATTTGTTTTACCTAAAAACATTACAAGTTCCTGCTACAATTCTTATTCTACAACTTAATCTTTTTTCTAAGATCTATTTATTCATTGGAAAGTCAGATATACAGAGAGGAGGAGAGATAGAGAGGAAGATCTTCAGTCCGATCATTCATTCCCCAAGTGAGCGCAACGGCCGATGCTATGCCGATCCCAAGCCAGGATCCAGAAACTTCTTCCAGATTTCCCATACTGGTGCAGGGTCCCAAAGCCTTGGGCTGTCCTCAACTGCTTTCCCAGGCCACAAGCAGGGAGCTAGATGGGAAGTGGAGCTTCCGGGATTAGAACTGGCGCCCATATGGGATCCTGGCACGTTCAAGGTGAGGACTTTAGCTGCTAAGCCACATCGCTGGGCCCCTACAACTTAATCTTGTATCACAAAGAAAAGGAGAACCTAAAGATCAAGGAAAGAATGAAACCCTAAATATAGGTCCCTTGATTAGCATAAGGTCAATGGGGACAGCCAAGACAGTAGGAATAATAGAAGGCCCTTTTGCAAGACATTATTATGGACATTAACCTCCAAGCTCACATTGATATTAAAAGGTCAGCTCCACAGTAGCAAACAATGCCTGGATGGATTAGAATTGTTCCACAGGGTGGTCAGGTGTCCATGCAAAAGAAGGTGGAGCTGCACTCAGGTGGTTGCAGAGACATGTGCCGGGCCCTGCCATGCAGGAAGTTCCATTGCAACCCTGCCTGCAATGGAACAATACTCTTCACACCTTCATATCCCCCACATCCACTGCACAGACCCCAACACCTACGGACTATTGTCAGAGTCTTCAGTCTCCAGCAGGACCCCTGGGATCAACTTTCCTGAATACAACCTGAGTTTCCCTGAATGTAGGGAGGAAAAACCTCTGGTCTGGGATGGTCCTGGTGATTTCTCACCTTGGAGGTAACCTTGACTCTGCTGGTCCCCTGCAGAAGGAACTACTATGGAGGTGCAGACTGCAGGCTCGTCCACCCTCCCCTGCTTCAGCTGCGATCTCTCAGCATCCTCTGCCACAACCACACTCGCACTGACCACACCTCTGTCACAGGATAGCCACAGTCAGCAGAGAATCCAAGGCTGTCCCTGGACCCCACTGCCAGATGTGCTCACTTCTGTTACACAGCCCTGTGCTCTTTGGGAATCAGGGAGCTCACAGCCAGTCCAGGCTGCAGCCTGCCCAAAGAGGTGACCATGCAGAAGGGCCATACTCTCTTTCCCAGTCTCTGTGTCCTAGCTTGGGACACATCTATTGCAGCATCTGCTGCTTACCAGCAGCCAAGGCTGGCA